TCTTCAGTTCCAAGGATTTTCAGTCCCTGAAAAGACCATTTTGTCGGCTTCAGAGACCTCTCCGTACAAACCCAACCCCTGCAATTCGTCAACCACAGTTTGATCCCTTGGGATGTTGCGTGACCCCTCCAGTGGTGGCTTATTTGACCAACGGTGTTTGAACAGTTTGAAATAGATCAGCTTCTCTAAGAAGGCTCTTATTTATTCCTCAATGTTCTGGGAAATTGCTTTACTCTATATCGGGTAGTTTTGCAGCCCTCCCAGAGTCCGGTAACACGAGCGGCATACAAATGCGTCAATTAAATAAATAAAACCCTGCAAAGTCCTAGGCGCTGTAGATGGTGATGTAAGCAAACGTGCAGAGGCGCTCATTAGTAGTCTGCCAAGCAAAGGACATCTTTGAAAGGCTGCCCCCCCTTTTTTTTAAAGGGGAGATCGCTCCAATTAACCCTACCACTCCCTGCTGCAATGTAAATTTCAGCTGTTCCTTAAAAGCATTTTTCCTCTCCTTGCAGCTCGCCGCCTTTCCCTGTCTTATAAATCTCTCTAAAAAGCATTCTTGTCGCTAGTATCACCCTTGCTCAGACTTGATCCTCTTAAGATTCTTCTTCCTTCCCACTCTTTTAAAAAAAAGAAATCCTCTGGGTACCCAAAAGGCAACTCTCAAGGGGTTTAATGCAGTTCATCTTAATTGCTTGGGCCCCGGCGGGGGGGGGTCCTTCCTTCCCTCCCCAGCCAGCCCAAGGATGTCTGGAAGTCTTTAGTCCTTGGGCTGATCCTGGCAGCATATTCATAACCTCAAGGCAAAAACAATGCCTTACCTAGATTACAGGCCATAAGGTAGCTCGGAGCTGAGTCTTTGGGTTGGCTGAATCAGCAGCAAGCCTTGCTCCTGAGTTCATTGGTTATTTTAAAATTCATTTATTTCTCCAAAAAGGTCTCAGAAATGCCTCCCTGGCCCCTGTTTTTATCCTCAAAACAGCCCCACGAGGTAGACCAGACTCAGGAAGGCTAACTGAGCTGAGCTTATCTATTAAATATTGTGGCTAAAAGCCTCGATAGCTGATTATCGATCCTGAAAAGGTAATTTTATTTAGAGTTCATATAACCATATTTTATATATAGGTCTTATTGTTCTGCGTTTTCTATTCTGCTATGGCCTTGTGGCTAATCAATAAAGTCATATTATTATGTAACCATATTTTAAGAAAATCCATGGGCCGTAACACAGCGGCCAGCCACGTATTTTGCATGCTTGCTAAAGGGATATACAGTCTGTGTTAGTGAGGGCGATGGGGTTTGTAGTCACAAGCACACTTTAAGAGTGCTACATGAAGGAAACTATGGATGCATTTGGGTTAGGTGATAGATATTCTTTAAATCCCCAGAGACATATGCCTCCCTTGAGTGCAAAGGACACAATGGTTAAAAGGGGATGATTTAGTGGTTGTGTTTAAATAATAATAATAAAGCAGTGATATGTTTAACAAAATGTTCCGATAGCTAAAATCTCTGCTCTTCTCTCTGCACTTAGTTAGACATTGTGTTTACCCCCTCTTTCAAACTTCTAAATATTTTATATTTATATTGATAAAGCATTTTACAAATTGGGGTGGATCAGCCTGTCTCCACAGTCCTTCCTTTGCCATTCAGTCATCATTTGCATTTTGGAAACAAAAAAAGTCCCTTTCCA